TCCTGGCTCAGTGAGATACTGATTGTTTTTAGACCTTTGCAAGTTAGCCAGAGGAGGAAAAATTAAGTCAGTGATGTAAAACAACACTAATTCCTCCAAGAATGTTCTTGGGCTTTTGCCTCTGCTGCTGTGCCCCCAGCTACAGTGCCAACCTCTTCCAGGCAGCACATGTATCTGATTAAGTATTTTCTTAGGAGCACAGGTCATAGACAGGTGCATGCAATCAGCCAGTCAAACAGCCTGGGAAACACAGGCTGAAGAACAGAAGAAATGCTCAACCCGGGTTGTCCCAAGCACCAGCCTCAATCATTGCAGAAGTTCATTATCACAAGCAAATGGCTGGAAGAGAAGAGGGAAGCGACAGTAGAAACCCGCCCATTGAGGTGGAAACACCTAGGCAACCCCCACTCAAAAAATTTTAAAAAAATCCTAGAGACCGCAGTGACAGAAAACTCATCCTATTAACTCTCACGTTCAATAATGACTCTTAACTGGAAAAATAAAAAACCCAAACAAAATAGGACTTTCGTCCCCTGGCAGCGTGACCCTATTCCATTGTGACGAAAGCCCTTCTGCTTGGGCAATTTGATGTCTCAGGGCTATAGATAACAGCTTTCCTATAAACCATCAGCAGCTACAGACCTAGTTCAATACGTATCAGTGTAACAAGCCAAAGCCAAAGCCAATCAGCTGCAACAAGGTTTAATTTTTCAACCGAACCCATGGGAAATCTATAGAAAGGACAAGAGCGATCTTCGCAGACAGTTATTGTGCAGAATGAATTGAATGGTGCACTACGACGAGTGATTTAAATACACGTTTCACACCACCGAATATGAACCAAATGCATTTTGGGCTTTTATAAATCTGTCACTTTATAATTGATGGAGTCTGCAGCCTCTTCCTGGTACCAGATCTATCCTCTTGGAAGGGACTGCATAATACCTTACAATAAAAAAAATGCAGGTATGCTGTCACACTAGCGTAGAGGGAACCGTATAAATAAGCAGATATTATTTAAGGATCAACCCTTCTTACTGCTGGATGTACTCTTTACTAGCAGTTGTAATTCAAAAGTGACCTGAAGTTGGCTTCATGCTCCGCTGTTCCCACGAGCACTTTCTGAAAAAGCTACCATGGGTTAGCTTACATTTACGCTGGGGTGGCCGCATGCACATGAGCAGTTACCATGCTGTAAATCCTCACTCTTGCTTAATGCATGGGCACTTGGCTGTGGGTCCATGCCCTTATATTGATGCCCCGAAATCATTATAATCACTTTTTAAAAAGTCAGCCTTTTTCTACATCCATCTTTACAACCTTCTGCCCCGTGGACACAAACAATTCATAACTTCATTGCAACTCCCCTCGTGCTGGCTTGAGACAAAAGCAACTGCACACAGAGGTCACGGCGTCTTGTCTTTTTGCCCCACGAGGCAGGAGGTTTCATTTCTAACATGAGAGTCAATGAGACATGCTTGCCCCCTTCTTAATGAATGAACCTCCTTGCCATTCCTGAAGTACCGGAAAGCTTTGGCTACCTTGTAAGATAGGGGCCACGCTCAGATATCATAACCTTTGATTTCTTGACCATCTTGCTCTCAGGACACAATTACGATCAGTGAAAATGCATCTCATGCGGACAGCAAAGCGTCTCTTGCCTCGCTTTTCACTGTAACATCTGCTGTCAAAGTTTGCATTGCCATCTTCCTGGGAACCTTCCCAGATGTCACGTCAAGCAAAAAGAGCAGACAGGCAACTTGAAAGCTCCCTCCCTGTTGGGGAGCCATTTCCAACCCCTGCACCACTTTACAGACTCTTGGAAAAAGCACATCCCTCTATGCACCCGGAGCTACCATATGGGCAGACCAAAAGAAGGTCAGGTATTTGGAACAAAAACAGAAAAAAATGAACCTTAAACCACTGCCAGGCAAGCGGGGGAGTTGTGAGACAGATCTTTGCTAAAGTGAAAAACAAAGCAAGTCTTTCTGCTGGATTTCCTAACGGGCTTGGCAAGGACAGGTGATGCAGTGGCAGTAGAAGAACTAGTTTACATATGTCCGTATCCAGTTTCTGTTGACGAGGTCTGATTCCAGCAAGCCTTACGCCCCGAGACCTTTGATCTAAGGTAGTCCAGTGGAGTGGGAGAGATGTTTCTGCTGTTTTTCTGTCCCATAGTCTAGCACCCATCCTGTTGACATATATATATTTCACCTTTAAGAAACCTGTGTTCAAATCCTGATGAATTAAATTAGAAAAGGAGTTTGAGGGATTTTTAAATGAAGCTCTCACTGATATGAATAGAGATGAAGAAGGGTGCAGGTTGTAGCTGCATCGGTCTAAGGACACAGGCAGACAAGGTTCTTTGGGTGAATCTGATATCTTTTATTAGACCAACTTCAATAGTTGGAAAATCCCAAAAGCTTGCTTAAAAATTGTTTTCCAACTATTGAAGTTGGTCTAATAAAAGATATCAGATTCACCCAAAGAACCTTGTCTACAGATGAAGAAAGAAGTCATGGGATGCATCATCATCGGTCATTTGGGGACTTGATGTTCAGCTCACTCCAGATTACATTGGGAGCAGTTCCATGAAAGTCATGTAATTAGGAGGGTGCAGAATGACGCAGAAGCACACCTTTGGGTATCGTTTTCAAACAGAGACCCTAGAAGAGTAAGGGTTTTGCCATCAGCAGGAGTCAGGGTTGGGGTACATTAGCAGAGCCATATAGGAACATGCCCCTGGTGTGTACTCATCCTGGGTGGACCCTAAGCCAGCGATGGTTTTTATGCTGAGGGCAAATGCAGCAAAATGTACACTTTTAAACTGTGGACATGGATCAGGGTAGCTCCACAGCTGTTGTGACAACTCACTGAAACACGTGCCGCCCTCCCCTTGCATAAATAAGGTCAACTTTGGGGAGGGGGATGTGATCAAGGATGACTCAACCTTCCCCGGGGGAGCACATGGCCTGCCGCTGTGCCTCGGTGCTTTTGAGGGATAATTATCTCCTGGGGACCCAAAGTTCAGTCATGTCTCCACCATTGGTGAATATGAATTTCATCTCGCTGAATCTGAAACAGATACTTTTGAAAACAAAGCCTACACAAGCAGGAGAGGAGGCATTTTATATCCCCCCTCTCCCCTTCTTCCTGAGCATTTGAGTCTCAGATGCTTGACAGACACGAAGGGAACTAGGTCAGATCCTTGCTCCATCTCCCCAGTCTTCAGCTCTTAGGGCGACAGGATCAATAATACAAAAGAAATTACTGCCGGTCTACAGCACAGAGGACCTGCAAAGCATTCGGGGTGGGGACAGCAGCCTGTAATAAAATCAGTCTTAAAATTGAAATAAAGAGAATAAAGAAAAGTAGTGGCATGGATCAAAGACTTCAATCCCCAGAGACTAAAATAGGGAGAGGGGTAGCTAGTTATTCTTGGCCAGGGCTTGAGTCAAGTCATGGAAAAACTTGCTTTCTGCCATACTGCCGAGAGAAAGTAGCTTCATTTCCGTTGCACCGCAAGGATTATATGGGTGCTTGAGGGTCCCCATGAGACAGGAATCCCCTCTGGTCTGCCTCTGAAGGAGGGGATGGGGAAGCCACTTATCAATGCCGAAACCTCATCCATTCCCCCAGCCACAATCCCCTTCCTTTTTCTGTATCTGGCCAACTGAGAATACCCCTTCCCAGCACTGCCTCCCTTACATATCTGCAAAGCAGCATGTGCATCCACCAGTTAGTATGTGCCTGAATACCCAACTAAAGGGAGAGGTGCTGGGAACCCCGACTGCTATAATTTGGTGTAGCTATCTGTCTTGGCATTGCACCTCTACATTGGAGGAATCCCATAAGACACAAACTTTATCCTCAACATAACAGGGCCAGTGTAAGGACTGGGCTGTGGGTTGTCTGGCCTAGCGAGTAGGCTACCAGGGCAGGGCTAGGGGAATTGGGGGACCCAACCACACAGTGGGGCAGGAGCTAGAGTCCTAGTTACCAAATCCAAAGAGGAATTTCAGAGGTGGAGTCCAAGTCACAAAGCTGAGAGCAGGCTCTGGAGTCAGGGACCGAGTTCCCAAATCCGAGAAGAGTTCCCAAAAGTCAGAGTCCATCAGCTCAAAAGCCAGAAAACCAGCCAGCGCACGATCCACAAGTTACCAAAACAGACCTTTAGGCAGAACTGTTGGCTCATCTATGCTGCTCCAGACCACCACCGTTTCCAAATCTCCCCTCTCCTGTCTCCTACATATAGGACGATATCAGGCGAAATCAAGCCAGCTATCTGAAGCACCCGCATGGGTCAATGCAAAGTTCCTAGCTTCAGTGTAACCGCTCTATATTTAAAGCCACTAACCATGAATTAACAAAGCCAAGCAGATTAAAAAGATGTGGGCTGCTAGCTGTAACGTAGCTACAAACTGCATGGACATCAGTAGAAGGAAAGATGACAACGGACCTTTTGTTTCAGTTAATTTCACAGGCAAATGAGAACCAGTTAATTAACAGAGAGAATTAAAGACATTAAATTACTGCAGTGTGTTTGAAAAAGCCTATAGGAACCATATCTGAGAGACACTTTTAGCACAAAACATTGATGTCTACAGGAATAAAGCACGATGTTTCCTACATCGAAACGCTGTTGGTCTCTGGATATTATCTTCCTTTGGAAACAAAGATCTGCCCCCCTCCAACCCTTGATACCAACACGCAGGCACATAATATCATGCAACGACAATCAAATGAAAATAAAAATCACTTTCTTCTTCTCCCTAACTGAACCCTAATTTGCTATGGTAGGGTTGCATGTGGGGGGGTCATTTTAAAAGTGTTAGGTTGCAAGTATCAAGGTCCATTTTTAATCAGTTTCTTTGTAGATAATTAAGAAGGAGAGAGAGGATATCATTAATGACAATCAGCAGAGCAGACCTTGAAGCTCGGCTTTTGTGACTAAACCGGAGAACATCCCCATACGACCTGCGGCGACCAGAAGTACTCACCGCGATCAGGATCTGGAAGGAGCTGTGCATGACCTCAATGTAGCGGTACTCCAGAGCACAGCCGATGACGGAGATGTAGGAATGACTGTCCAGCCCCTTTATGCCGGGCATGGGAGCCTCCTTCCTTACGCAGCCAGGGCCATTTTCACTCCACCAGGACTGGTGCCGGGAGATATTAAAGGTCAAAAGCTCGCTGTCCTGAGGGGCAGGAATGATTGAAAAAGTCATCATTAGCGAGGAAATGACATGCTATTTAGGGACGCTCAGCTCCCATCAGGCAGTGTAATCTGATGACGTGAACTTTGATGCACGAAAGCTTGTGCTCTCTATATGTATCCGAGTTAGTTAGTCTATAAAGGTGCATCTCTATACTGCCAGACAAGATTCTTTGGGTAAATGTGCTCTCTTTTATTAGACCAGTTGGAACAATCGTTCTTTGCAAGCTTTCGGGTACAAACACCCTTCTGCAGGGAGCACCTCCCATATCCATCCTGTGCTTTCAATGTGAAACTTAAACTCTGACTTCTAAGGCAACCCGTGATAAGAGCCTCCAAATGTACCACCCTCAGTAAGGCACAGGGATCAAAATGTTAAAAAGCACTTTATAATTAGGATATAAATCAGCATGAGCTTCAGTAAGGCCTGTCTAATGGGACCAGCTCTTCTGACGAAGCACTTCAGCATACTGGCAGCCTGTCCCAGCGTAACGTGGTGACGTTTGGGAGCAGTTGCAAGCAGTTGTCACAAGAGACAGACAATTTATAGGCTCCAGACTAGGCTTGGGATGCAAGAACATCTGTCTCAAAGTGCCTGCAGCAAGGAGAGAGCACAGAAGAAATGTGGGATGACCTTGTAAATACCATGATGGAGACAGAGAACTCTAACTTGACAGGTGCCATATATCCACACTAATACAGTATATCCAAACGTGTTATGGTCTTGGACTAAGCATAAACTTCAGAGCAAGACAACTCAGGGATTTTTGCGGCTCTATTCCGTTTATCCTACGAATGAAGAAATATTTATTATCAATTGCACAAATGATTACTGCAGCCATGCCTTAGGAGGAATAAAAGCGTTCCAGCACACTCTCTTAACAGAGAACTCATACATACATACTTGACTGAAGTCTTTTAAAACCTTCCTGACATTAAGAACTTGACCTAGAAATTATGATCAGCCACAAGTCTCAGGAATATTTTCTGGGAAAGGTACTGTAAATTCATCATCTTTACTACCGTGGTTAAAATTGGATGGAAGTGGAATCATTACTACAAAAAACTTTGCATATTTGATTTTTTTTTTGTATTGAATTGGAATGAAACTGGATGGATGGATGGATGGATGGATGGATGTAGGGAACGAATCCAAGCGGATCTGGGCAGGTTGGAAAAGTGGGCGGAAGAGAATAGGATGCAGTTCAATAAGGACAAGTGCAAGGTGCTGCACCTGGGGAGAAGGAATCACCAACACACCTACAGGCGAGGGGAGGACCTTCTTAGCAGCATGCAGCGGAAAAGGATCTTGGAGTCACTGTTGACTCCAAGATGAACATGAGTTGTTAATGTTACAAAGCGATCAATAAAGCACTTTATCATGCATTAGCAGATGCATGACAAACAGGTCCAAGGAGGTGATGCTTCCCCTCTATGCAACACTGGTCAGGCCGCAGTTGGGAGTACTGCATCCAGTTTTGGGTGCCGCACTTCAAGAGGGATGTGGACATCCTCGAGAAGGTCCAGAGGAGACCACTCGTATGGTCAGGGGCCTGCAGGCAAAGCCCTAAGAGGAAAGATTGAGAGCCCTGGATCTCTTCAGCCTTTGCAAGAGAAGGCTGAGAGGTGATCTTGTAGCCACCGACAAATACATAGGGGGGGACAGCAAGGTATAGGAGATGCTCTGTTTACCAGGGCAGCCCTTGGAGTAACTAGGAACAACGGCCACAAACTGATGGAGAGCAGATTTAGGTTGGATATCAGGAAGAACTTCTTTACGGGATGGGTTGCCGAAATCTGGACTGGGCTTCCAAGAGAGGTGGTGCTCTCCCCTACCTTGGGGGTCTTTAAGAGGAGGCTGGGCGTGCACCTGGCTGGGGTCATCTGACCCCAGTGCTCTTTCCTGCCCAGGGCAGGGGGTCGGACTCGACGACCTACTGAGGTCCCTTCTGACCCTAACGTCTATGAATCTATGTATGGATGTAGTCATTTCAAGAGTGCCCAAACAGTATTTTTCTGCTTCCCAGCTGTCCATCCAGAAGGCTACTGCCACTTTCATAGTCTCTTTACCGCCCCTTCAATTTGTCTGATGTCAAATTGTATCTTTTATAAATGGAATGTTTCAATTTTGCAATAAAAGGGTTTTTTTAATGGAAAATTTCTAACTCGCTCTAATGAAGATTTATATTGCCATCACATTATGAAACTTTTTTGTTTCCACCACCTTAACGCTGCTGAAAGGCTCTGTCGCCATTCAGAGGCTGTGGCCATTTTGTTTCCAGAACGACTACAGCCGTTAATCGAGGAGGAAAAACCCCTCTTATACCCTGTCACGGAGACATCATTTTGGCTCGTTCTTTTCTTGTTGCTTTCCCCTCAAATTGAAAGGTGGCAAATGCTGGTCCTTTATGATGAATAAGATACAACTTCTCCGTCAGCAGTGAAGCTGCTTCCAAGTCTGGCTCATGGAGCTAAATTACTGACTATAATTGCCCCAAAAGTTCAATTGCTTAGCAGAGACAGAAATGTCGGCTTGCGCACTGGGCAAACTGACTGAAACCATAGGAGAAGAATAACTATGTAGGGACGAGAGTCCAGTCACCGAATCACATGTCTGAACACGTCTGCTTGCCAAGATTTGGATCCAGGAATTACAACAGGAGTGGAGATGAAAAACATTTTTGAACTTCATAAAGGAACAATTTCCTCTCTGCCACAAACTATTAATGCGTCTAATAATTTCCCTCCCCATCTCCAACTCTCACATTTCCCTCATTATTCAGATTTATTGCACGTCTGGATTTCCATTGACCTCAGTCAATACCAGCCTCTTGGGTCAAGTTACTGTGATGAGCTGACCTCCGCGGTGATCAATAGCTGCTGGAGAAATGTTCCCCCATGAATTCCACATCATCTCTGCCACCGGAGCTACTTTTCACTTTGCTTCTTTCAGCATTGCAGCTTCAATGAGAGCTAAACTAAGCAATTTTGGATGCCACATGGTGAAACGCAGCATGAATGGTAGAGGAATTTGCAAGGAATCAAGATGGTGCATTTCTAATAATAGCTGCACTTCCCTTTCACTTGAGAAAGTGATACCAGACTAATTAGGAACACCAGCTGCAACACCGTGGTCACTGCTGTGGGGCTTCTAGCTTAAAGGGTATTGTTACCTTTCCCTTCAAGTGATGAAAGACAAACTTGGCATCCTCTGGAGAGCAGGGGAAGCAAGGACAGCAGCAGCTATCCCTACTTAGTAGGGAAGTGCTAAGTGTCTGGTGCCACTGGGACCCCAGCAGACCTCACGTGTCACTTTGATGTAGAATCAGCAAAACCTTTTGGCTCTTGTAGCACACGGGAACAGGGGGCAGAAGGATTTATTTTGTAGCGTAGACTTATGGAAAGTGCCTGGTCCAGAATCCAAATGCTGCCGCAGCCTAGGCATAAACTCCGAACATTTTGTAAAACATCTGGACTTATCCGCTAGAGAGCTGAGATGCTGCCCTGAACAGACCGCTGATCTGAGCTTGATCCCTGTGGGAAGACTCAGCTTTATGCCCGACTTAGTAATACTTCATCTGTCATCATGAACCCCGCAAACAGCAAACGAGACTTGATAGAGGATTGAGTTTGACCCTCATTCAGATATCATCTGAATAAGGACAGATTTTAACAGAAATGTAATAGGGCTGGAAGAGACTCTGAGAGGTCACCTAGTCCATTCCCCCATCCCGAGACAGAATCAATTGTACCTCAAATCGACTTTGGATAAGCTATATGTTGTAGACTTTCATTTTCTTGAACTGAAGCTCAGGTATGCCACTAATTCCTAGTCCCAAAGTCTCCAGGAACAAACTACCCTACTCTATACCCTGCCCAAGCTAGCATCCAGCTCATCACCAGCACTTACTAGTACTTTGTGGGGCTCTCTACTCCGAGTGTGTGCTGGGAAACACATCTTGGGAGGTGTGAACACTTAAGTAAGAAGTCAGCTGCCAAGCTCCTGACATAATCCTAGCAACAGATGGGATGTGTTTTGCAGCGGAGGAAGGAGAGCGCAGAGCTGTTGTGTGGAAACAATGCTGAAGCAACCCCAATATCAAAGGGAAGACAATTGGGAAAACTCTATTAACAGCCTGAAACTTATACAAGACCATCTGCATTTTGCAGGGTGCGAGGAATAATTAGACTGGCGGCTATCGGAGAATGAACTCATGGAAGGGTGCCTGGTGCGGGCGCTAAGGGACGTTTGGTGGCCGCCAGCTCCCCTCTCTCCCAGCCTCTGAGAGGAGCAGCAGTTTGGTGGGAAAAAAACACTAACCAGCTTTTTCCAACAGGCACTTCTTTTTTGGGCTGCTCCCCTATGGACTAGACATAGATTATCTCCTGTCCATTCGGATCAGGTCGTTGCTGCACCCCCATAGCGCCTCCAGCATAGCCATGTCTCAGCGGGATGCGCACTCCCGCGGCCAAGCTCCTCTTTCGGCGAGACCGACTGCAACCCACCCAAATCGCTGCTCCCCCCTTGAGAGGGACTGGACAAGCTGAAGGCAAAATCATGGTCCAAGCAAGGACAGCTCTAGCTCTTTGGCTCAGGGCTTTCCTTTATTAACAAAAAGCCAAAGTAATTGCAACCCTACAGGGTCCTTGTCCGGAGAGGTTCGCTCTCACAGCCCTCCTCTGCAGGCACGAAGCTCTGCCAGTTGTTTCCCATGTAAGCCTTCTTCCCAAATGATGCAGAAAGCCCTTTCTAGCACTCCTTCCCCGCCCTAGGGTCTCTCATAGAAAGTTAGGGCTGGAAGGGACCTCAGGAGGTCACATCTAGCGCAACCCTCTGCTCAAAGCAGGCCCAGCCCCAACTCCATCATCCCAGCCAAGGCTTTGTCTAGCCGGGGCTTAAAAACCTCCAAGGAAAAACTCTACAGAAAATAAGCTGCTTCTACTTATAGCTGAAGAGCAAGGAAAACAATGGGATAGCAAATC